GACAGATAAAAAGAAGAGAAATAGATAAATAAGACAAATAAATAATTAAATATGAAGGTAAAGTAAATAAAGCAAAATGAAGATAAAAATAAATAAATAAGAGAAACAAATAAATAATTATGAACAGAAATAAATAAATAAAAATAAATAAATTTATGAAGAGAAATGAGACAGACAGACAGATTTTTTAACGTGAGCATCTTGCGAAACATCATCTTTAATGTGTTAAACAAAGGAAATTAATCAGGTGTAAGGCTGTAAGTATAACGATGACAGGATTTTCGTTTGTGGCTGAATGAATGAGTACAACAGTAGCAGAAGTAAATCATCACAGTGTTTCTATATGAATAACCACAGAGTGTCGAGTGAAACCTGGTAACAGCGCGGTAAAGACACGATGGTGCTCTGGAGGTCTGCCGGCCGCAGGTTGATGACGCGCTGCTCCTGTCCCTGATTCACAAAGTGCAGCTGGAGAGTCACCAGTTTGGCCAGTTTGACACATTTCACAGCCTGACGCACACAAGAGTCCTGAAACACACACACACACACGCACACGCACACGCACACACACACGCGCGCACACACACACACACACACACACACACACACACTAATATCAGGTCTCATCTTAAAGGCTCTTTCTGATCATTGTAAGTCTTCCCTGAAGTCACACAAGGTTTCTTTCTGATGAATGATGCCCAATGGAACTAGGAACGTTAATAGAGGAACGTAAACAAGAAACAGAGTCATTTTCTGTCATGTCTTAAAGCAGTGGTTCGCAACATGCCGACTTCCAAAGCAACCTTAAGATGACTAAAAATGATTTCAATTAAGACAAAACAAATTTAATTAGAATTAATATAATTTCATTAGATTCTAATTTAAACTAATTAAAAATGGGAAGTGAAAACTAAGTAACGCAACAGTAACGCAGTTACTATGACAGTACATTACAGAATTAAAAAATAACATGAAACAAAGAGAAAAATATAAAATAAAATATAAAATAATTTAAATAAATAAGCTAGAACAACTAAAAATCATTAAAAAATATTTCTGATTGTAATTTCCCCCCTCAACAAATATTTTAAAATAATTGGAAATGTTTGAATAAATAAATAAAATAAATAAAAATAAGAAAAACATATAAAATAAAATATAAAATAAATTAATAAAATAGAACTAAATATCAAGATATTTCTAATTTGAAATACCCCCTCCCAACAACTGTTAAATCATGAACGACTGGAAAAGTTTGAAAATAAACAAGAAAATAAATAAGTCAGAAGAGAATATAAATAAATATAAAAATAAATAAGATAAATACATTTATTAACCGATACCATGTTTATTTTCAAGGCGTGACAGCAGCTTAAAATGCAAGAAATTAATATGAAGAGAAATAGATAAATAAAAAAGAAAAATAAATATGAAGAGAAATAAACAAACTAATAAATATGAAGAAAAAAAATTAAGAAAAATCAATAAATTAATAATAAATACAAAGAGAAATAAAATAAAACAAACATAAAAAAAAGGGTTTTTAAGGTTTATCTACGACAAAAAAAAATCAAAACGTAAATCTGACCTCACTTCATTAAAAATCTCTTTATATGAATCATGCGAATAGGAAATTAATTGAAATGAAATACCTTCGAGTAGCTCTCAGCTGCGTCTTTCAGTAAAGTCAGGACCTTCACAAGAGCGTTCTTCAGATCTGCAGTGATCGCTGCTCACCACAACGCAAAAACATCATTAGAGACGCACAGAAACATCTAACTCCAGTTTTTCAATTAAAAATAAGTCAAATTATCATATTACAATCCATTTAATGAAGCAATAAGCAATACACACAATCGTTCTCGTTTGTATCTGATACAGTTTTGCAGTGTTTTCTCACCCCAGGGCTGTGATTCGATGATTTTGAGCTGCGTTCGCGCCGCTGCCTCGTGGTTTTCTCCGATCTCTCGGCGCATGCTGAAACACAGAGCCACCATGTTGTGCTTCTCGCTGTCACCCGGCAGACAACGCTTGATGTAGTCCAACAGAGCCGTCTTCAGTCTGACATTCTGTCTCTCACACACACGCACACACGCGCACACACACACACACACACACACACATACACACACAGACACAGACACACACATAGACACAGAGACACACACATACACACACAGACACAGAGACACACACAGACACAGAGAGACACACACACACACACACACACACACACACACACACACACACACACACACAGACACACACACA